GTTGCAGACGTTTCCGGATTATGTCGAGTCGAAGGTTTCCCTGCTGCACGATCTTAAGATATACTTTGTGTGTGACCTGGCATCGATAGAATGATGGGAATTGCAACGACATCTCCCCCTGCCGTCGAACAAGCCTTGCGAGCTTCGTCGCTTGTTGCGTCAGGCAGTTTCGCAACGATTTCGCGTGCCTGCAAAGAGGAGCTCCAGTTTCTGGATTTGAGATTAACACAGACCATCATACAAGGTGCCCGAATCAAAACCAACCAACCTACAGGAGAAAAGGAATCCACTAGTCATTGAATTAAGTGATGCAGACATATACGTGTATTTATGGAGCTATGGATCCAAAAGATGCAGCGGAATGATCAGACGGCAATGTATTTGTATAGTAGAATGCAACACGCTGCAATACCATACAGTATCAAGTATAAGCGTATGGTCCCCCCCCCCTCATGACAGACCAACGCCGTTAACCCCCCGCTCCTACCGGGCGATTCCGACCTTTTCCGTAGGTTCGGGATTCAAGCTCTGTTTTCGGCCGGCTTTAAGCACTCAACCGAAAACAAAAACACACAAAACAAACATCCGCAGAGAATGCCGGAACTGCATTGATATGTATGTGTCTTTGTTTATTGGTCTGTGTTCGTGCGGCTTCAAACCCCCGAAAACCAAGGATCCAGAGAATGCCGGAACTGTTTTAGTTGTTTGTGGCTTTTGCCTTTTGGTTTTGCTGTTCCGATTAGTATGGGTACTTGGCACTGTATAAGGAAATCCGTAAAACCAAAACACAAAAAACAAAACAAAGCAACACCCAAAAACAAAGAACCAAAAACCAAAAATAAGAACAGTTACGGCATGCTCCCTGGATCTTTGTTTGTATTTTTGGGTGTTTGGTATCGTCCTTCATCTTTGGTGTTGCGCGCCCGCGCTCTTGCCGGAGATCCCCATACCAAAGCCCTAAACCTTAGCTGAAGCCTCAAACTCTATACCAACGCATCTACACAGTTCTTTTTAGGACTCTACCATTGGTTTATGTAAGTTTGATCTACAGGTGTTTATAAAACATTTTGTTATTGAACACCCCGGTACCAGTAGTCATTTCAGAACAACTTAATTCATTCAGTTCTTGTGCTTGCACATACCCATATGTGCAACCGGGATTACAAAGCCTCATACAGGGGTAACAACTGCAACAGATCTCGCAGAAGTATCAACCATCAACCATATAGTTAGAGTGAACCATATCGTTGTCTGCAGAGTTTGGTTCTTCCGTAATTCCCAATCTTTTCGAGCCGATTTTATCTCGGTGAAGAGTTGTTCTGCCTTACTAGCTGTCGTTTTTACACAGAGACACTTTTGCAAAACATGCTTGGCAATCATCTCGCATAAAGACTTGCCAAATGGATGGTTGAATTCTCTATTGAGGTTAATTGCAAGCTGCGGGTCGCAGCCAAGGTTGAATAAACTATTGACACAACGATTGGCTCGAGAACAAATTGAAATTTTCAACCCATTGAGAATTCCGTTAAGCTTCCTTGAATGCAGCCACGTCTAAAGTGTGTCACTGGGGGGGGGGGAGGGTGAGCAAAAGTATGTATGGTTCAAGTACATAAGCGTAGAAGAGGGAATTACAAAACTGACATGGCTCAATATTTGATGATGCGTCCCACAGCACAACACTCCGATAGAGCATCAACGAATGTGGAAATGCAACAGCCCTGCTTGACAGTGAAACAAGACTGCAGTCATCGAAATTGCAACAACTTAGAACAACACGGTACTAGCACAAACAAACTCTAACGTCCTAACAGTTTCGGGCCAGCCTGCATCGAACGCGTCGACTCTTTCAACACTGATTGTACTACTCCAGGTGGGAATCAAGAAGCTTGCAACTATACTTCAGTGAACCGGCGCCTCGCTCACTTGAGCTGCACATCGAGAAACCTGCATCGAAGCAGATTCAGAAGTCGAGACGGATGTTGGGTGGGCGCAAGCTCTCGGGGCTAGCAGCTCTGATGCCTGGGACTGGATTCAATTGCCAGAGATGATTGAGAAAATCGATTCTAGTCCAGGTTCATTTCCTAGAAAAAAGCATGGGAAGGTATGTTCCTATGCTAGCTCGGCTTCTTCCGCTTTTTCTCGCATGATGGCGGCTTAATCTGAGTCCGCTGAAGGTCTGAAGCCTTGAGCCTCGACCTCGGTCGTCCGAGCAATATCTGCCATTCGAGCTGGAACCACCGACCTCATCCGTGTCGCCCACCCCAGCGGATGGCGCGGGTGGTATCAGCATCACGTGGATGGTCTGCACGAGGAGCCGGCAGCAGGAAAAAAAATGGAAGTTGTGTCTTGTGACGGCTACCACGTGGAAGCTGCCACCCAAAGGTTTGACTGAAAAGAGGTGTGCGAAGTAAGAGGTTGGTGTAACAGATGCCTGGATACATCTCAAGAACCCACACACACTTCAGTACGAGATCAGTACAAAGTACAAGGGGTTCTTGATTGAACAGAGTTCTCTTTTGAGGGCTAAGACGATGGAGCGAAACCTGCATGCAGGGCAAGTCCAGGATTGTGTGCTTCGGGCTGGGCATGGAACCACTACTGAGTCCAGTGACCGTAATGCACTGTGGTAGCGGACGCCCAATGAGCAGGCTGCACTACAGAGCCTCCGTGGATTGTCAACAGTAGCTTGATTTGCAAGAAGATCACTTGTTGTACTAGCCATCGACTACAGCACCTGCCGGGAAGCTCGCAGCCCTCAATCGCCCATCCTTTCATCGACACCGAGCCCCAGCACAACCGGGCACCTACAACCCTAAATCACGCCCCCAACAACTGAAGCTTAGTTCTGGACTTTGTGCGAAGACGGCTAAGACATAAGGCAGGTGTTCAGCCCCAGCCTTCCTTCCGTTAGACCACGATTATGGCCTTGGCTTTTATTAAGGTGCGCAAGACTGAGGGAAAGAAACCAGAGCACCTTCACCCCATCCACGTCTTTGAGGCCCTGCACAGCGAGAGTTTCAGGAATATCCGTAGCTTCTGGATGGGTTTGGGTGGGCCGAGTGCTTACAAGGAATGAACAACGCGAGGGCCGGCCCGGTCAACATATCATCCCAAAACAACCCAACTAGCTGAACCATCCGACAAACTGCCAGTGCTTCTGTCGACTGTTGATGTATGTTTCTGGAATAGGTGCATATCTTCATTAGATACCTTTTGGCAGTTTTGTGCACCTTCCACCATGCGCGTTTCTGCCGGTAAGCGGACACAGAGCGATCGTGCGACACTGCGCATGACGAAATTGTCTGACCAGGACCGCGACCACCCTGAACCACCACAACGACCACCAGGAGACGACCAGGAGACCACCAGCAGACCATCAGGAAACCACGAGGAGACGACCAGGAGACCACCAGCAGACCATCAGGAAACCACGAGAAGACCAGCAACAGAGACACGACATGGAGACCGGCTACAAAGCTTCCCCCAAATATTGGCAGAATGCAAGAGCACGGCGAAAATCCCATGCTTTCCCCAAGGTACTGGTAGTTTCAGGAGCGCTGATGCTTCCCCCCTATACGATTCAAGAGGACGGCCAAAATACTTTGTTTTCCAGGCATTCGATGCCAACAGGTGGCACATGTACAGAAATATATAATGGATCTGGCTCTCCTTGAGACGGTCTCCAGCAGATCCTGCTAAGAACAGGACTTGAGCAAAAAATCAGCACCACACCACCGCAGGAGCTCGCGTCCCGGGCAATGTGTTTCCCAGGGCGTTGCACGAAGAAGGGAAATCGATTCTTTCACGTTAGAAGCTCATGAGGCATACCACACTGTGTTTGGGCAGCCACATATACATACATACACATATAGATACACATTCTCAAAACACTGCCGGCACGTTTCTCTGCCACTCTGCCCAAGTATGAATTGGCGCACGTTTACCCCATGTTCGGTGTCCGTTTTTCTTGAAGCTGTGTCTTTGGTGAAACCACCGATAATCATAGCCACCTCCAATACTCACAAATGAAGCATGTGCTACTACTGCTGCTGCTGCTACGCTACTGCTACTGCTGCTACTGCAAATACCGCTACTACTGCTACTACTGCTACTACTGCTACTGCTGCTACTGCTACGGCTACTGCTACTGCTACTGCTCCTGCTGCTGCTGCTGCTGCTACTACTAGTACTCCTCCTTCTCGTCCTCCTCCTCCTGCTGCTGCTGCTGCTACCACTACCACTACCAGAAACAACAACAACAACAACTACTACTACTACTACTACTACTACGACGCCTACTGCGGTACTACTACGAGCCCAACGACTTCGACTGCTTGGATGACTGCAGCAGTAGTGGTCGTAGTGGTCGTAGCTCTACAGTGGCATGATGAGACAGTAGATCGAAAACGTCAGTAGGTTGGTGGTGCACGAGGGTGCCGAAACAAGTCCCGATGCACTCGTTGAAACTCGCAACTTGCAGAGTGTGGCCTTGGCGTAGCAGCGGGCACGCGACCGTCGTGCATTTTTTATGGCACTGCGTTATTTGTGCAGCACTTCTTCCAGGCATTCCGCTGCGGCCTGCAGCGCCACATCTGTGGAGCTTGGGGCAGGCTAATGAGCTGTGACTTGGATGGCCCTAAGGCCCTGAGGAGCGGAGCAGGCAGTGTTCGTCTGTAAGGCAATACGTGGAAATCAAGGCGGCGTTGAAGGCTCGGATCGAGGCGCGTGCTGCGCTCTCGCACAACTTGCCCAGCAAGGCAGTTGCGTGTGTCGCATGCTGTGGAACATGGGTGCACCATCTGCGCAGGCATTGCAAACTTTCCATCGAGACCATGTCTCCCCTGAGGCGAGTCCTCCGGAACCCGTCCTGATTGACTTGAACATACGTATTCGTGGCGTTGTTTGTTCCCTCCTAGCTTCCAGGAGCCGTAGCAGATTCCACAAATCAACGCCAAACATAGAGGACAAACTTCCATGTCTGGGCCCTTCCTCTTGGTATCATGCAGGCGGACTCGGCGCCTTCCGTACTGGAGCTGGGCCGTGCTGTCGCAGTCGCGGCTTCCCGTGGCATTGAGGTACTCGGAAACTATACTGTAGGGCCATGGTCGCTTGCTATGCTTGCGAAATCGTGCGAAGTGTTGCCGGGATTGCTTGGCCTTAGGCCCGTAGCTCTACGAATCTAGACACTTCAGGTGAAACCGGGGCTTCGGGCACTGATTCCAGTGCTTGATCTGATCGGACCGCCGGAGGTGACTCGGCAACAGAGTCGACCCATCAGCTTTCCCAATAGCTTTCGAAAGTTGACATTGACGTGTTCAGAGACCCAACGCTGTACGCTTTCGAGAGCGACCGCCCAATGGAGATGCAACCATATGCAACCGAGTAAAGCCCGCTGACATGCTGACACTGCTTTGGCCATTCTCGCGTCAGGCAACTACCTGTGCAGGTGAGGACCGCCTTTGGAAAAGTGAGCTAGAGCAAAGGGGACGAGTAGGTGACCTTTCGCTTCAAGCGGGCAAGGACACTCCGGAGCCCAGCTGCCACATCGCCGTGGAGCCATCGGGAGGCCTTGAGATTGGCTCTCGGTTCCCGCTGGATCGTAATTTGCATGTCAGTCAGACAGAATCGGATGTTTCGCGCACAGCAAAAGGAGGTATGGGTGTTGCGATTTTGAGCGAGAGTTTTGCCGAGGATGTCTTTGCTCGGGAAGTCGCACAGGCATGACTCAGGCATAAAGAGACCAGATACATGCAACAAGAAGCGATCCAAGCAGGGCGCACACACACACACACAACCTGTGCAGAATCGCCATAGACATGCATGTCAAGCGGTCTAGCGAATCGCCGTGTCTGTGCCCTGCGCCATGGCAGCCCATGCAAAGATGGTGGACCTGGGTGACATCGGAGCTGCCCTCTGTAATTTACCCTCGCCAAAAAAGCCAGAGGAGGAGCTCGACGACGAACCGGACCCTATGTGGGCGATAAGACTGGGGCACAGTGGTTCCATCAAGTCTATCTTGGAAGACTGGACCCTCTGTGGCTCAAAGAGTCCACGCGCTTCCTTCTTTCGCTGGGCTGCACGAGACCACATCAGCTCACCTGTGAAGGCCAACTTTCGGTGGATTAGGGTTTACATCACTTTGCTAGGAGCGGAGATTGAGACTGAGCAGTTGCCCCCGGAACCGAAAAGGCAGCCCAGCAGCCCCAGTGTGATTGAAAGCCGGGCTCGCCTGCCCAGAGGTTACCGCAGCACCAGAGCGCTCCATGCATCTGCGACACGAGAACCGCTTAGCCAAGTTCATGAAGGACAGCATGTGGTCGAGGCGTCACGCGTTTGATCTCTTAAATGCTTTTCACGGTCAAACCAGAGGAAACCCAGCAGTCTCCCAAGACCCTCAAGAAGCTCGTGTCCGCACGTCGGCAGCGAGACTTCGAGCAGGAGGAGGAGGACGTCGGGTGGAGACGCATGTGCTTCGGGTGACGTGGCATGTGGCATGTGGTTGTATAAGGCACTGAATAATTTTTTCTCAACTCTCAACACACACACACACACAAGATAATGCAGCATGGGGGTCGGGTTCGCGGGGCACGCTGCCCATGAATTTTGAAAGCTTCCTGATGGAAGTGAAGTTCACCAAGTTTTGTAATTTACCAAGATCTTTAAGTAGTCAACGATTTCGGTTGCCATGGGAGGTGTGCTTGACCCTTGGGGGAAGTGGATTCCTCACAGGGTTTGCCGCATGCCGGCTTCTGTTCAAAGCCCCGGGGCACATGAGCAAGAAGATACTTGTAATTGATGTGTTCGCGGCACAACTGCAGCGAGGAGCCCGGGAAGCGAGACCGCGCAGCTTCGTTGCGTGAGGGGGCTTGGTCCATTTTGACAAGCAGCATGACAGGCATGTCCTGGCTTCGGTCTGTCACCAACTGAAAAGTTGTTTTAAACGTTCTGTTGCACGCCGTCACCATCCTTTTCCGAAAGAGTCTTAGCTCTAGCTGTTGCAGGCAAGTCGTTGGGGGGAAAACCTAGCTTTCACTCGCAGATCGCTGGATAGTCGGTACAATCCAAGCCATCAAACATGGGTGAAATGCTTTGTGGCGTGGCCTTCTGATGTAGGCAGGCCTCCTGGGGCTGCGCGTTGGTGTTGTGTGGAACTGCCCCAATGTCCAGGAGGAGTAGGATGCCTTCGTCCTGCCGAAGCTATTCGTGACCCACTTAGCGCAGATACTGCAACCAACCCAGAAGCTTGATGTACCGACGAATGAGCATATGGAGCTATGGGCACAAGAACTGTCTTTCTGCATACAGATATTAATATATACATATACACATATATGTATATATATATACACACATCCAAAACCTGGCTATCTAATCGGATGCCGGTTGTGTGTTCCACGCAGGACTCCGGAAGAAACACAGTGAAACGATAGACTACACTGAGGTGTCAGTAGTCGAATTTCTCAAAAGTTTTGGACATTGTTCTTTCTAGTATCATACTTGTAGGTTCGTTGTTCTGGTTTTGGAGCTTCGGGACTCTTGATTGCGATAGATCGAGAGTCTGACTTCATGAGGTCTTCGTTCGCATTCTGAGAGACAGTTTGGCGATGAAGGCATGGACACAAACATACAACTACAACAAAAAGAGTGAAGCCATCACGGGCTCTGCATGTCGTCAGGACTACTGTAGTTGAAAATCTGGATCTTTTGAGTAGGTTATGTACGTGCGTTTATGTGTATGTAAATACATCACACATACACACAGACACACACAGGCAGACACACATTCAATTTTATCAAGCTATACCGTGATTATTCTCAATGCTTGGCACGGTATGTGTATCATGGAGATGGTGCGGTGTAAACACTGTTGAGATGGCATTCTGAATGCAAAGAGTAGGATTTGCCTGAGTACTTGGAGCAATCTGAATACCGAATCCCTCGAAACAAGACCCAAAAAAAGGTTGATGACATAAATCCTGCGTTACCTTAAGATCAACCGAAGGACACGCCGAATCACAGAAAATGCCACGCCTGCCACAGTTTTCACATGTCGCGTTCTGAAGACAACACTTTTTCCGAGACCTCGGTTTGAATACGAAAATGGCGAAACGCTTACTTGCACAAAAAATGCGCGACGTTTTTGCACCCGTGCGGTTCAATTTTTTCATGACATATACACACATGCATGTTAACATGTGTATATACATACACACAGCTGTACATGCATACGTACATACATACAGATATATATATATACATATAGACTATATAGATAGATAGATCGACGATAGATAGATCGATAGAGAGATAGGTAGATATAAAGATCGATATAAAGATAGATAGATTCGCACATTATTCGGAATTTACAGCAAGCGCTTTAACGTTAACTATGCTTCGACTGGGCTTAGACCATTGCTGCAGGAGGAGACCGTAAAATGCAAAACCAAAAGCACTGCCGACAGTTAAGTCGGCTAGTCGCGAATGCTTCGGGTCGGTGTTTGATCTTGTGCTCGCCTCCAACGTCAGGCGGCTCAAGCAGAGACTGCTCCTTACAAAGGAAGCAGTCGATGGTTCGCCGACTAGTCGAGACTGCTTTAGGTCGGTGTTTGATCTTGAGCTTGTCTCCAACGTCTGACAGCTCAAGTGGCTCCAGAGAATCGACATGTATGAAGTACGAAGACGGCACCCGGGTTCTGATTCAGGCCTGTGTGTTGAGGCTGTGTTCATAAGAAACGATAAGAAATGCTGGACGTCCGGAGATGGAGATGGAAGAACCGGGTGCCCATCGCGACCAAGTTACTGTGGCCGGTGCCATGCAGTTGCTGCTGAAATTTCTAAACAGTCGCTCTTGCTCAGATGAGCCATCTCCGGTATCACTCTTTTGGCAAACTTCTACTTTGATCTTCCTGCGGTCCTAAAGCCTCTGTTTCTGCCAGCGCTTACCTTGAAAGCCTTTAAATACCTTGGGACGGGCTGACGAGAAATTGCCTGTCTCGAAGGGCTGTCTTCAGCTGGAGTGATGCTCACACATGCATGGTGACTGATTGTGACTCCCCTAGCGCAAGAGCCATGCGACGAGTGGCTCGTGCGAGTTGCGGTAACATTTGTTGCCGCACGCTTGCTGACCTGTATGGCAGTACCTTCCACAGAAACCGAGGCCTGCAAAAAGCTGTGACATTGAGACAGAAGCACATTCGTCAGGAGGGTTTACGGTTTAGGGGTTTAGGGTTTAGGGTTAACTTAGTAGCTGAAAGGGTACACTAAGCTTTTTGGGATAGCATGATACCTTATAGAACTAAAAGTGTACACTTTTTTGTGCTTGTGAACTCAGCAGCTAAGTTCTGGGTTTTGGCTACCATAGTGCTTGTTCACCTCGAGAGCGAAGCCCTCAAGCTGAACCTGAAAACCTAGGGCTTAGGGGTTTGGGGGCTTCGCGTTAAGGGATTTAGGGGTTTAGGGTTTAGGGACTTAGCATCCGCTGGTTGCTTGCTTCCGCATGCTGGTTGCTTCCTTCCGCATCCTGATCCGTGGAAGGTGCTGCACAGCGCCTAAACTTTTTGAATTTTCAGTCATTTAATTTTGCAGGCATCTAGTGTTCAGAGTGCTCCATTGCGGAGCCAAGCTGCTCAGCGATGCCGGACACATAATTCTCCTTGTTCAGCTTTTGTTAAACCAATCCTGCTCACAGCTCAGCAAGAGCCTCCGCGACCCGGGCGGTTCAGCTGGACAGAACACGTGTAGCTGCTCCAGCTTCTTTAACACTGCCACGACCAACCACCAACAAGGCAACATGGGCTTCTCAACTGCTCGGCTCGACTCTTTGCATGCAGACATTGGAAAACGGACCAGACTATTCCCGCAGCGTTAAAAGCATCCAGAATTGTAGATTCGTATAGACTGTATGACTATATGGAACATCTCAGCCCATTCACATTGCGGGCATGGTCGGCTAATTTTAACCAATGCTGCATCTGCCGCTCGAGATCATCCAGGTATTGCGGAAGTAGGAAGATCGGAATCCTAACTTATAACCCTTCAAGAAACTTTGCGCTTGGAGGTTTAATTACAGGTTCCTTGGCACTCGTATCTTCAGGCATGAGCTCAAACCGACCACCGAAATTTGTAAAAGGGATCAGGCTCGCACATGCCGACTCCTGAGGAGTATCGACCAGAAAAGCACAGTTGCAGCTCTGTGTGCACGGTGGTTGACGACACTCTCAGAAACTTCTCAGCATGAAGGTCCGGGGGGCCGTGCCATTGCTATTGTCACGGCGGCAAGGGACCTGCGCGCAGGTGCTGTCTTGAGTGGTCGGGTATCGGCACAGGAGTCGGCAGTACTTGTGGCAGAGCGCTTCATCCTTCGAGGTGAATGCTTGAGCCGCGACGTGGATGCCAGTGCAGACTCACTGCTGCTGGACTGGGGCCTTGCTTCCACTAGAAGGCCCAGATCGAGTTTAGAAATGTCTGCGCTGTGGACTTCACAATGTCTCCATCCAGTGCATTAGGGAGTGGGACGCCTTCATGTCTGGCCTTCCTAGTCCTAGCCTGCACTCCTAGGAGAGATGATGTCGCCCTTCATGCGACTCGGATGCACTTTTGCCTCACCTGTGAATTGTTGTTATCAAAGCAACTCGCTTACGCCTTTCAAGCCCGACCCGCCGATGCTGTGCATCGCCGCGCGCTTTCCCGAGGTGGGCATCAAGAAGGGCGTGGCCCAGTCCTGGCAAGTCTCCACACTTAGAGCCCTGCAGAATTCGGTTCCGAGTCCTGAAAGTCCTGGCGCTTGATTAAGTAGACGATGTTGAAGGGCTCAGAGGAAGGAAGGAACATGTTGGAAGACAGATGCTTCCTTCTCCTTCCAAGTCCTCCATCTCGTCGCATGAAATCTGTGTCGTGATGGTGCCTGCGCTCCACTCCGAGACTTACACGCTGAGGAGAGCTCTTAGATCTTCGGCCAGGCGACGATGGTGGTTGGGTGGCTTCGGCAAAGGTGCGCAGGACTGAAGTCCAAAACCCATCGCAACCGCAAAAGACGCCATCTGAAGCTTAGCTCCACACAGGAGTTCTTCACTTCGCAAGGCCCTGGACCCCAAACTCTGGGTGGCGGCACGCGCCATGGCCTTTACTGAGTCGGAGTGTGGAGAGCCTGGGGAGGGGAGCGTGGAGCCTCCCTTTTTCAAGGTATCCTCGGCTGCAGCTCCAAGGCCGAAGCCTTGGGAGCCGTCACACCGACACGCTTCCCATGACGGTGCAGAGCGCTTCAGAAGTTCGAGATGTCTCTAAGAATTTCAGATGTTTTCGCCATTGAGTAATCGTGCGTGATTATTGGGAGATTCCCAATCAAGATATTATGCCACATATGCCACACATGCGGTTTTTCGTTGTATTTAGACAGGTAGCTCGGTTGGTGGAAGAGTGCTGAAGACTGTCGCGGACATATCAGGACTGGGACGTGCGCTCGCGCGAAGATATGTTGCGTGCTGGGCTGGACGGCACTTGGCGCGCATTCAGTCTTTGCGACGGGTTGCGACCATGGCCTGCATGCCCCCCCCCCCCTAAACCCAATTCACACTCGAAGCGTAGACTCAGCGTAGTGTGTCTTAAGGTGTTTCAGCGGCCCATCGGCGGCGTGCCTTGTGGGTCCTGAAACAGGCAGTGCAGGCAGGTGCCAGTGCTGCATATAGGGCGCAAAAGACTTGGTAATCATCTGGATTCTGGATGTGAGCAGCTTGTTGTGTTGTGAAGCCATGTGTACCCATTGCTATCCCTGTCGCAGAGTGCCTTGGACAACTTCGAGACCACGGCACCAGACGATGAGGACTGGACACCTACAGCGTTTGCTCTTGAGCGTTTGCAGAGTGCCCATCTCGCATCGGCATGGAGCAGTGTGAAGACCGTCCATTTTATCTGCTCGCGGGAGTCTCTGGTGATGCAAGATTGCAATTGCTTTCGCTGAAGGAGGTGATCCGTCTCACGGAGGATGAGCGACAACGCGTGGCAGCATCATACAGGCTTTCGGCAGCATCGCGTAGATGCTGCAGGGGTTACACAGCTACGTTTTCTTGGGTCACGGAAGAAAGCCCGAACAAACAGCAGCGTTATTCGTGGGAACATGGGAAAGCAAGAGTTTCGAGTCACCTCGGTGCCCTGGGTTTGTCTTCGGGACAAGCCCAAAATCTCATCTTCCTCGAAAACAGGCCACTGTGACACTACCGCAAGCTTTGAAGCCCTTAATTTGTCACAGGGTTGCATAGTCGTAGAGCATCCAACCAGCTGCTTTCTTTTCGGGGTGGGCGTCGTTTCCGCATGGGCTTTGGCATCGGCATGGCTGATCAAGGCTGTGTATGCTCTCTACATGATCTGATCTGGCATCCTAGACGTATTCGGTTGGTATCTGGGAGCAACATCAAATAATCCAGAAGCATCGCAAACCTCACGCATCCTGCAAGATCTACGAGGGTATGTTTTCGAGGATGAATGCCGTGAAAATCGAGATATGTGCGGCAGACGCGGGAACCCAAGAACAAAAACCCAACCTGTGCAGATGTTCGTGTTTTCCGGCCCTCGAATAGAAGTGCATAACGCAGTTCTGGCTGAGAAGGCTGGGCAAGAAGCGGATCCTCTCAGACGTCCTTGTGTTGCTCGTGGCACCCTCAGCCCAAGAGACACTAGTCAGCCTGTGAGAGGCAGTCTGAACCCAGTCCTAGTCCCTACAGGCCTTGGCACCATAGGAACAAGAGCCCCCGTGCGAGTCCGGAGCGAGCTCGAAGACATGTAAGCCATTCCTGGTAATACGGTAGTACCTGGTAGACGCGACAACGCCCATCTGCAAAGGAAAAAGCTGATGCGAAGATTGCACGGAGACGAGCTTTGCTCGAAAAGGACTGTGCACGGTCTAAAGGAGGTGTCAATAGTATTTAACAGTTCTAGCATGTTTTTAGCACTTCTGGACCCCGTGATTCTACTGTGGCCACGCCAACATGGAAACCAACTGTCGATGAGGCTCTGCGATAGAAATCAGATTCTGTTCACTCGCAGGAGACGAGCCTGCCTGCAGTGGTGACCGGCAAGCGCAAGTCAACCAAAGGCAAAGGTTTCGGCTGAGCTCTCCGGGCCAGAGAGGGCCAGGATGGCCAAGAGGAGCCGGCAGAGCAAGCGGAGCAAGACGCTTTGCATCGCTTGGCCGAGCCTTGGCCTCGTCTGTGTCACACATGCACTGGTGCGGCGGCTGAGAGACATGAAATGGCTGTTTGATGCATTGCAGGCTCTCTGCACGTCTGAACCAGTGCTACATGACAGAAGTTTGGATGGCCACCGGACTCTCCAAAGCCCCTTTGAGACAAGAACATAGGCGAGAAGGGTGGAAGAGTTCAAGACGCACTGCGAAGGCCATGGTCCTTTTCGTGCTCAGCGACCCGCGGCTCCCCTTCGGTCAGCTGCGGATGCGCACCACGCCGTAAAGGGTGGAAGGGACGTGATGGAGTTCTGGTCTTGGGCAACATGAGCGTCCGATACTGCATAGCATAGGGCATAGAGGCCGAAGATTGGACGAGCATAGCTACGATCGGATTGCACAGGTAGTGCTTTCGACAGCACAAACCCCTGGCTGAGATCCGCCTACGCTGCCTTAGGCGCAGCTTCACCGGCTTGGATCATGCTTAGGATTGGGATGCTTAGCACCGGCTGACAGGCCCCGGCAACCGAGTGACGTGTCTTTACATCGGCGCCGGATCAAGCATGCGGTCACAGGCCTCGTGACCTCGCAGTTTGTGCATAGATTGAACGTTTGCTTCGTCAAGCTCTGCAAAGCTGCAAGGAGAGTTAGTGAAGGAGAAATGCAAATGCAAAGCTTGGCAGCCTTTTGGCCGCAGCCACTCATTGCACAGGCCCTCTTGGCTGCGGAAGAGGAGGCATTGCCAACGGTGCTTTGCAATGCGGCCACCGCCATCGAGGCGAAGCGAATCATGCGAATCCCGCGCCTCTCCCCTGCCCCAGCAGTTCGTTTCGTGTGCGCTTCCCGACTCGCACAGGTTTGGCTAAGTGAAGCAGACCTTGGTTTGGTCATGCGCTTCGTGAACCGGCCCGAGGCAGAGTCAGAGCGTGCAGCGCAGCGTGCACAGAGCGCGCCCCAGAGCTCCTTGGCAGGTCTACGAGATGCCACCCGGATGGCCCTATACGCATCAGGCTGCATGTGTGTCCAGCGCCTCCAAGTGGCAGGATGTGGCAGGTATTTCGGAGCCTCATGAGATCTCGTCCTGGCTCGTCCTCTCCCATGCATCTATCAATCGATCACGAAAAAGCCGACATTGCTTTTCATTAATTTGATGTGAGTTTGCCGTGTCCAGGTGTTAAAGGATGGCCCGAAGAAGGCCTTGGAGCCGGCAGATGAGGCACGGCTGCAGGGACGCTTTCACGCGGTCCCTCTGTGGCGAGAGCTTTCTCAGACAGATCAAACATGATCAAACAGTGAGAGCTCTGCGGCCTTTTTTCGGAGATGCTGTGCGAAGCATGGGCGGGTGGTTCTTCTGCTCGTGGGGTCAAGGCCGCGGAGGTGGAACACACAAATGGTGCCAGCAGCGACGAAGGCAGGAGTGCTCAGCAAGTCTAAGTCACCAGACGACGGTACCCGACGGGTGGTGAAATTTTGGTGGGGACATCTGCAGATTTTGCCATACATTGAGCTGTAGTTTGTTGGAGGTGCGGCACTTGTGCCACAGCCCGCACCCCAGCTCCCAGGGAATGAAAAGGTAATTACTCGTAGCCAAAGGCCCAAGGTATCCGTCTTAAGAAATTTAAGAGATGGTCATGACGGCTTGCCCTCGTGAGTAGCGGTGGTTCAGACTGAGGTCCTTGATTGGTGCCAGCCCGGGCGAGTATGCCCAGCTCCCGGAAGTGTCTCCAACCATGCAGCCATGCTGTATCATGAGCACGCGGTCCGCATCTTGTGAGGTCTTGTTTGACCTGAACAGGGACAATGTCGCCGACATTCCAGATGTCGTCCAGCACCTAGTGCGCAGCAAGTCTTTTGACATGATCCGCCCAAGCTGAAAGCAATCCATAGCTTGCGCTGGCGAACTCAGACGGTGGAGCTTTTGTCGCCTGCGTCCGCCTTGGCTGCTGGGCGCCTGGAATGTGGTGAGCACAGCTCCAGAGCTCCCGAAGACACGGGAACCAGCGGAAGCCCGAAGTCGCTCGCGATTTCAACAGCGGAGACTGATCAAGAATCCTCTTCACACCCGACCCGAATGCCATGCAAGACCGAAACTTCCCGAAAGCATCTTCGCACCGGCTCCTGTTCCTTGCGACTGCCCAGGCATTGCAAGAGCGGCCGCCTCAGAGTGAGGCCATCATCGTCGCTGGACGCAGGCCTGGTTTTCAAGCTTCTACGAACCTCGGGCTTCCCGGCCGTCGGAAGATAGACCTGTGCACCCTCTGCCCGATCCATTGGCCAGAAGCCCGAGTACCAGAAATTTCTGAAGGAGATGTTGACCGGTGAACCCGAAGCCATGTCTAGACTGGAATCCTACACTATCAAATTGGAGAGGGGTCGAGAAGCTGTAAAAGGCGGGAATCTGGGGGGTGCTTGATTTTGAATCTTGAAAGAGGTTTTCTTGACGGCGAACAGTGACTATCCCTTGAGGATGTGTTGGTTGCCCAACCTGCAACTTCCCAACAGAAGATTCGCTAAAAGGGTTTTAGACCTCGGCCTCCAAGGTAACGACCCGAAACCACGGTCAGTGAATGTTGATGTTCTGATGGGCGGCAACACGGCTTTTTCTGCTGCGATTATCTTGGTCCTTACAGCAGCCTAAGAGTTATGATTAACGGTACCGGAGAAGCAAGAGGCCGCCAGCCCCAGCTTGAAAACGAGGTTAGAGAAAGGAGCAATAGCATTCAGACAAGCCAGGTTCAGCATAAAGAAGCCAAGTCCATTGCCAGCACATGCAAAAGCAGCGGTGTGATACGAGAACAATCGCCGTCCTTCAGGAAAACGGTGTGGGGTCAGCCCCTTGGGTGTATGATAGGGACCACTTCCCGACATGAGGCCAAATGCAATCGGAAATGGTGAGGTAGATGGTGTTATTCAACTTTGACAGCCTGCTGCACTTCCGCAGGTATACATCCTTCATGACGCTCAAGAATGCACTTGTGGAGATCGTGCTGGAGCAGGATCTGTGCAAGGGCAGTCGGCCAGCCTCACAACTGTGCAATCACAGATTCACAAAGATCCCCATTTAGGATGTGTTCTGCCACTCAGAATCACTTGGGCAGGGTGATGAATGTCTGCCTCATGTGACTCATTTGTTTTCCGTTTTTTCTACTTTTTCCGGCCGCCTTGCAACCAAGCAAGCAAACCAGCAAGCAAGCACGTGAGCAGGCAAACACGCAAGTCTAAGCCGTGCAAGCTCGCTTCAAAATAACATCCTGCCAGCAAAAGCAGAGCGCGTATGAATCGTTGCAGAACCCCTGATACAGACATTGTGGTTGCAAGCGGGGGGGGGGGG